TACGTTTGTATCTAAGTCTATACATCATCAATCCGTTTAGCTCTGTTCATATCTAACTCCATTCTCTTAGTAATATTGAGTTGATCAGAAAATCCTGACTCACTTGTTAAGCGGATAGTACATAACAAAATATTTGGGGGCAATACCAACATTTGTTCTTCAAAATAAAGTCCATCATACTCGGCGACATTCTGCAGTGACCAGTCAGCATCAGAATCTGTCCCAAATACCAGTCCGCTAGCTTTGAATTAAAAAACTGCAATCTTCCTTCAATTCAGCAAAAGTGTTGAATTGGTGATCGCGGAGGAAGTGTGCCATTGACCGGAATATGCCATAGTCACCCGGGGCAACATTGGTACTGAAGGTGGATGTGGAAGAGTCTCAGCACCGTCCATCTGTTTCAATTTCTTAGTCAACCTGGTAGCGTATGGCCTCGCATTGTCTTGCAAAAACAAAGACCAACCCCGATTTACCAAAGCAGAATAGTCCTTCGTTAATTTGCCGTACACACGGTCTAACTGTTGGCAATACAGTTTAGCTTTGATAGCGCAACTGTGAGGAACAAGCTCAAAATGCAGTACTCCTAAGAAATTCCACTAGATGTGAAGATTTGTTGTTTCCTTTCCACTTCTTAATTGAGTCAGGACTTTCTGGCCTACGTAATATCTATCTCATTTCGTTTCATCTACCTTTTTTTTAAACTATCTTAGTCTATACATATGTATCTTTTGAGGCTTACCAAATATATGGATATTGTATCTGATGTAGGTAACGAATTTGCCAAACATTAAGAAACAAAAAAGATATAGACAACAAGATTGAAGTCGGTAGGACATAAATTAAAATGTTATTTTTCAGACAGGAAAATGTAAAAAAAAAAACGGTTATAAATGTGTTATATGCCTTCTCCCCAACCCCAACCCCAAATATTTTCCATAACTGAAAAATACATTACATCATGATGGGAGAGATTGCCTTTTTTTACGTGTTTTGGAGGTATCTTCTCATCATAGCATCTACTCCAAAACCCTTCTCTCTACAGACTAGGTGTCACTCAAGGGTCGTTAATGATTATATTACCTGTCATGCCTGTGCTTAGTAATTAGGGAAGAGGAAGGAATGTTTACCCAACATATATATATATATATATATATATATATATATATATTGAGTCTCTGACGAACTTTTAATAAAAGTAATATGTTAGATTGTTAAACGTTTTCCACGTTTCCTATCTCTCTCTATCTTTATATATATATATATATATATATATATATATATATATATATATCTTCATTCAAACATGTTTCATTGTATAATATAATCAAATTGAGTTTATTCTTTTTACTGATTCTTTCCAGATACTTTCGATCTTTACCAAGATCCTTTTTAGGGGTAAAAAATTAGTTACAATAAGCTTGTCTTTGTAATTTAACCTTGAAGATGATCTTGAAAAACATCAAAATAACAATGACATCTGCCCCAATCGCTGAGAAACAACGGTATATTTATTAGTATATATATATATATATATATATATATATATATATATATATATATATATATATATATATACCGTGTGTAACAGCAAAATTGTTCAACTCGTGTAAAAAAAAAACAATGTTGTCTGATTGTTAGATTGAGCTTCGATCCGATGTGTCTTAGAAACGATTTAAGATATCTTACTGAATTTTCCGAAGTTTATATAACACTATGGGACTCTGATTTGAGCAATAAGAATGTACGGTTACTATCCAAGCTTGATAGAAGTATCGTGATGAAATCATTATATATATATATATATATATATATATATATATATATAATTCCAGGATCATTTTCCAACTTATTCAATATTATCTTCGCCCTTTCTAACGTTCTAATTTTCTGTCTTGGAGTAACAATTTGCCTTATTATCAATTTTCACGTGCAATTTCATCTTCAAGTCTTTTTCACTGCTCTCTGGACTGTCATAGCTGAAACTCCTCTCTCACGTGCCATAGGTCTTATGAATTGAGTTGGATCTTTTCTAATTGATATCTTTAAAATGGTGATCCCTCTTCCTGTTGTGACCTCCTGATTCAGTTTTCCCCTTCTACTGTTCCCTCTTTTTTTACACTTATTCCCCGTTCTCTTGATGGTTTAATCAATGGACTTTGAAGATGGAAGCCAGAAGATGAATGCTGGTACGATTACTGAAGGCCTGAATGATCTTTTTCCTCTTACCATTGCTCAGTTGGGAAGATAGTGGATCTGACACAAAACAATTTTAACCTGCTCTCTTTTTAGCTGAATAACTCAAAGGGATTTTCATTGATTCTTACGAAAAAATGATGTCAAGATGACAAGACGTCTTATCTGGAAACCTGAAGAAAAGAAACACAACTAATTTTTTTGTTGTTTTTTTTTTAGATATTAAACATTTTATGGGTTGGACACTTTTGGTGTTACACGATTTGGACAATTTTACTGTTACACTCGGTATATATATATATATATATATATATATATATATATATATATATATATATATATGAGTTGTACCAAACGTTGAAGAACAATTGTATATTTATTAATATATATATATATATATATATATATATATATATATATATATATATATGAATCATTCATACAAAAAAACAGATATAGAAGTTAATGATTTAAATGGCGATAATACATCTTCGCAAACAAATTTAATAAATTACATTAACCCCGAACCTGTAGATGAATGTTATGATCCCTGTTGATAAATTCCAGTTGCATAAGGTCTTTTTTAGTTTTTTTACAAGCTTTCATCTGTTCCTACAGACATCTTCGGGTATGGAAATAGATTTGTTTTTGTTTTTCACTTCTCGGTAATAACAGGACAACGAAAATATAGATGTAATCCGGAAAATGTTTTTAGAAATGTGTTATTGTTAATTGTAAAGAAATTTTTTTGGAGCGTGCGGTCGCAACGCTGAAGTTGAATTTTAAATTTTAAGATTGTGCGTTTTTGTACTAATATGGTAATAGGAGAATTCTTTTTTTACTGGTAGGTTTTTCAGTCACTGTGGCATGCAACACATACTTGACATATATATATATATATATATATATATATATATATATATATATATATATATATATATATATATAGTTAAGTTAAGAAGAACTTGATAAACCGAATGGGTAATTCCAAGGTGGATGGAATCCTGAAGATCAATGTGAATACAGAGCTAATATTTAATGAAATGAAAGGACCAAAATACCATTTTTTTTTCACCAAATTTCTTTTGGACTCCGGATCATCAGAATTGTTCCAACAATGAAATGAAAGGAAAAAAGTTTTTTTTCCTTTCATTTCGTTGTAATGGTACCTTAAAAGTGGTCTGTTTTTCATTAAATATATATATATATATATATATATATATATATATATATATATATATATACCTATCATATATCTAGGTTTACCTCTATCTCTGCCATTTCTTACTTCTCACTCTTTTTTACTTTCTCTCTCTCTCTCTTTCATTCTCTCTCTCTCTCTCTCTCTCTTTCATTCTCTCTATATTTTCCACACCTTTCTCTCTCTTCTTAATATCTGTCTGTCTTTCTCTTCCTCTCTTTTTCTATCGCTTAGATCACTATAACCTTCCTCTACATTTCCACAGCCTTTGCTTTTTTCAGTTCTGTCCTTTCAGATCATTTCTCCGAATTTCTTGCTTCTCAGAAGTCTTGCCTCACGAGCCAGAAATGATCGGCTCATTGACTTCAACCTTGATCATTCACCATTTGTGTCCATCTTCTTGCTTTCTCTGCACTATCAGCCATTTACACCTCACTGACAACACGTAGACCTGTCACGGATATAATTTGTTTAACAGCATTCCGTATATTTTTCGTACTTCTTTCTCCTTTAGAGACCTTTGTCTTTCGCAGTTTATGCTTTACTGATCGCTTTCTAATACGTTCTCCACATCTTCCCTCGTTTTCTAGATTTGCTCTTTTTATTTTTCTAATAATTGTTGCTATTCTGTCTCTCTTCACACAACTGTTTTTTTTTCTTCTTTTTTCACTATTCTTTATCAGTTTATTTCTATTTTTTCGTTTTCCTTTTCCGTTTCATTTGTATCTCACTCTCTTTTCTTTTTTCTTTTTTTCTTTCTCCTTATTACTTTTCTTTCTTCTTCGTTTCGCTATTCTAAATCCGTTTGAGACTTTTTCCTTCTTTTTCCAAATTTCTCATCATTATTTTTTCTTTATTTCTCCTCACTTACCTCCCTTTTCTTTGTCGTTTTTTTTTTTACTCCTTTTCTTTCTTCTTCCGTATCATTTCCAACAACAACTTTCCACTTGTCATTCTCTTTCATTTTTACAGCAGTTTCTCTTGATATTTTCTTTTCTTTTTTTCTTTTATTCATCTTTTCTAACAACCAATTTTTTCTTTCCTTTTTACGCTTTCTTCGCTTTGCGTTTCTTCGTCTCCCATCTTCCTTTCTTTCTTTTTCTTTCCCATTAGTACTTTTCTTTTGTTTCTTTTTTGTTTCGCTGTTTTTATGCTTTCGAAACTTTTCCTTCTTTTCTCATACTTATTTATTTATTTTTTATTCGTTCTCACTTATCTACCGCCATTTTCCCCTCTTTTCTTTCTTCTTCCATATAATTACCAGCAATACTTTCAACTTCTCATTTTCTTCCGCAGTCTCTCTTCACATTTTTTTTTCTTTTTCCTTTCCTTTTATTCATCTTCTTTTTTTTTTCTTGCAACCAATTTTCTTTTTTTCTTCGCCCGACTTAATCATCTCATATTTTCTCTTTATTTCGTCTTTTCTTCGTTCAACTTCTTTTTCATTATTTCTGATATGATCTTCTTTCTCGACTTTTCTTCACCTCACTTCATTTTCCCCTTTGAAATTACGTCTTTCTACTTTTGTTCTTTATTTTCTCCTATTATTTTTCTCTTCTTTACTTCTCTGTATGCATTTTTTTACCAGATATTCGATGACAACTGATCTGCCGCAAAATATGTAATATTCTGTCCCTGCCAAGGTTGACAATAGATATAGCAATCTTTTGCACTAATTGCTGCAGAGGGTGGTACTTAAGACAGCGTGATTTTACCAAATGCTCATCCTTCATCGCACTTCTCTTCTCTTTGTCATTTTTGTCAAGGCACCTGGCGGTAAGCATCGACTCAACAACGTAAGATACGAGGGGGATGGTGGAGTAATGGATAGTGGTTAGAATTCCATTCAGATGCATTACATTCACTTACGTGCGAATACATTTGGTAAAGGTATCAATCCTCTTCTTCACTCCCCATCTATGGGTAAATGGCAGGACAGACCGGGTTCTACCGAAAAAAGAAATGGCAACCTACTGCAGGAAACTCACTATTCAGTCGTAATTCTTCTAGTGAGACAAGATTGCTAACCATTACACCACGTCGAGGTACAAGACATGATGTAATCCGCTTATGATTTGATTATAGTTGTGAATGCTTGTGTAGAATCGACCATATATTTCGCAATAAACGAATACAGAACTGGTGTCATAATCTCTCTAAAAGTCTCTCCCCAGATTTTTAATTTCAGAGCTGTCCTTATGCATACGGTCTATTATTCAGTTTCCCTCTCCAAGACTGGTTGCCATCCAGTGCTAAAGACTCCAGTCAGTCTCACTATTTAACCCATAGCTGGGAGGTACTCATGAATATGGATTCATACATTTCTCAAGAGTATTTCGATGCAAGTGGATATAATGCACACAGCTGGAATTCAAAAAAAAAGGTACATCGCTTTCTCTACATAATAAAATAAAAGATCCGAAAATCCGAAAACGGACATGTGAGAAAAAAAAACAGAAAGAGATTTAATCAAAAGACAAACGGACAAAGTGTGCTCGGCTGTGTTAAAATGCCACATGCTGGTCAATGTAAGGGAAAGTAAACATGTACGTGCACAGTGAACGAGATAACCTGTTTGTACTCGAGTTATAATTGTGCTAGTTTCAAAAGCAGCTGATTATATGTTCAGTCCTCAGCAGGTGTTCTGCTAGGTTTGATAGCAGAGCAAACGACACTCTGCACAAGCTAATCAGTATCAACTGTACGAACGAATTTTCTTCATTGTCAAAATGGCGAAACTCTGGCTTATCCAAGAATGATATGTTAATTACTTCTATCTTGTCTATAATGAGACTTATATTGAGTCATGAAGTAATTTGCGCAATAGACTCACACACTTAGATAAATTCAGTTGTGTAAATAAATTTCATATGAAATGTATATTTCTTTTCTTTCTTTTTGTACTGGCAAACAAGCGACTGGTGTTTTGATTTTCTTCTATATTTTATTTTTTCTACTTTAATATGTATGAAATTTTGCTGTAATTTATAGCAGTATTTTTAAAACAAACATCTGGATACATTTAATCTGACATCAAACAAAATATTTGCCATATGACATAACCTAATGATTCCTATAACCATAAAAAAAATCTGTTTGCTACCAGTCAGCAAATGAAACAATCATTGATCTCAATAATCAGTAACGGGATCTGGTTAACGGTTGTTGGCGTGGGAACTAAAATCAGCGAGCCGAGTTCAAATTCCGGTCTAGTCCGCTGTGTTAATTTTTGCAAAGTTCGGAATCCATCTCTTCTCACCAGATTTTTATATTAGGGCATTTCGACTTCACTAGATCAATTACGACTAAATACTGAGTTCGATCCTCACTGGATGCCACCACACTCCCAGCCTTGTGCCACGTCTAAGATACGTTTAGAAAATCATCACCATAATCTTTAGGTTAAATATCAGGGTGAATTAGATTCTTGATCCTTAAGTGGCCACCAGTCTAGGAGAAACACAACTCTGAAGTCCAAACAATAGAAAAGGTAACGGGAAACCACTCCACTAGCTTTCCCAATAGTTTATGGCAATTCATAGAAAATCTGGTAGATAAAGTATCTGTGGAGTTCTATGATCACCTATACTGAAAAAGAGCTCTTAGACACTATTTATATTATTCGGACTATTATCCTCATCTTTGTTGCCATATTTATCACAACGTTTCGGCCGATGTACGCTCCGGCCTCCTTCAGGTGGTTGAAATGTCGAACAGGTGGTTGAAATGTTGAATCTTTTATTTCGCCCGCTGAGGTATAATAAACTTAATGTCTTCAGCAACCATTTTTACCAGTGCTCATATTGCGATTTTTGCTGTTATCATTGCATGTTTTTTTTTACCAGAGCTCATATTGCAATTTTCGTTGTTATTATTGCTTTTCTCTTGCATTTCTTATTACTGGTTTCTCGTTAGAAACAAAGAAAAGAGTGTTGAAATAAGCTGACATATCTAATCTCTTACATGTACAATTCCTCACACATAAAAGAAACTTGAAGGGACATTGCTGTGGTTATCATGGACAGAACATGTGAGTAACGAGAAAGTAAAATAGAAATTAGAAGGACACTATTCTTAAAATCAAAAAGAGTTGAAACTTCTAGGACACATACTGGGGAAAGAAGGCATGGAAAATTTAATACTCAAACGGCACCCTGAAGAGAGGGGAAAACAGCAAGCAACCTACTGGCAGAGCAAAAGGGTTGATAAACGGTCAAACTTACGTGAAGCAAGAAAAAAACAGGAAGTCATAGAGATTCATGATCGCATACATCCTGAAGAGACATGACACGTAAAAGGAAATAGCACTCACTGTAAATTAACTAACAGCTAGTTTCATAAATCTCCCAGCACCTTCCACAGTATGCTAATTTTACTAATGGCTGAATCGGGAGTTTTATTTGTTAACTGAAAAATAGATGTCGGCTCGTCTCCGAACAACTATTGTAACTTCCCTCTTCCTACAGAGAACTTGTCTTGGTTCTCAGGCCCCTACTTAACCATGATGTTTTTGACCTAAGGTGAAATTCCTGCTATCTTGATTCTTTGGTATCACGTGATTCAGAAGCATTCTACCCTTGAGTCTTGTATTGGATAAACACTAGTAAAATAAAAATAAAACGAAACCTATTTTTGAATTTTTTAAACTCACAAATTCATTTTTAATGTTAGCTTTTCAGTTTGATTTCTCAAAATAGAACCTTTTTTCATTTTTATTTCTCCTTTAAGAGCCAGTAAGAATGCCCAAGATACCATAGAAGTTAAAAAATGTACTAACTAAATTATATATCTATATTTTAAAAATGGTGTTTCTGGGTAATAATAACGTGATAATATCCCACATTATTTAGGGAGGGTTAAATACAAGGACACAATGTGTGGCACTTAGTGACAATAAAAAATATTAACAATGGTTTTAGAGACTATTTTATTAACCGCCGATTCCTTTTCTCTAAATAAAACCATCACTTAACAGCTTGAATGGTTGTCATTGTTCTCTTTTTATGAATAATAAATATTTTCTATTCCTTTTGTTCATTCAAAGAAAAGGAATGGCATTTTTTTAAATCATCCATTTATCATTCGAAGTTCTTTCCATTTGACCGGCGGTGAGATATTTAATCATATCAAGACGCTGTTGAATATTCCTTGGAAATTTTTTCTGTTTTGAAAAAAGGAGTGTGGGGGAACTAAATATTAAAAATAAAGTAACTTGCTTTCTTTTATATCATTCACGAATCAAGGCTTCTTTTTTTTCATTAAGTGCTTAGACCAATTTAAACAATCATGAAGAAAAGCCAGTATTGAATATATAACTCGTCAAATCAAAAGAAAATAAAAACTTATAATTAGTTGAACGTATATATTATAAATGCCAGAAGTCTTACGTCAAGTTGATTATCATCATCATTATAATTTTCTTTTTTCTCCTCCGATTTCTTGCTTTATCTATCTTCTTCTTCTTCTTCTTCTTCTTCTTCTTCTTCTTCTTCTTCTTCTTTGCCTTCTTTGCCTTCTTCTTCTTCTTCTTCTTCTTCTTCTTCTTTGCCTTCTTCTTCTTTGCCTTTGTTCCTTCTGATGGATATCTTTCCCCCGCTAATTATCTCAGTTAATTATTCTTCTTCTACTCTCTCTCTTTCTCTCTCTTTCTCTCTCTCTTTACCAATTCTCTCTTTCTCTTCTTCCTCATCGTTTATTATTTTTCTTCAACCGTATTTCGCTTGTTTACCATCTTCCTTTCATTTGCTTTCTTCTTCTTTTTCTTCTTCTTCTTTGCCATTCTTCCTTCTGATGGATTTCTTTCCCCCACTAATTATCTCAAGTCAAATATTATTCCTCTACTCTCTCTCTCTCACTCTCTCTCTCTCTCTCTCTCTCTCTCTCTCTCTCTCTCTTTACCATTTCTCCATTCCTCTTGTTCCTCATCCTTTACTGTTTTTCATCACTTCTGTTTATCATCATCCTTTCATTTGTTTTCTTCTTCTTCTTCTTCTTCTTCTTCTTCTTCTTCTTCTTCTTCTTCTTCACGATTCAGAACCTTTCCAAATTCTTTACTATTTATTTCTACCCTATTTGTTGAAATTGTTGCTTTTGTTGTTGCTGTTGTTCTTCTTCTTCTTCTTGTTTTTCCTCTTTTTTTTCTTGTTCTTTGTCTTCTTCATCTTTCTGATTAATTGATTGATATTTTTGTCAAGTCTTCGAGTGTATATTTAAAACTGAAACATATATTTGACTGCCAGAATAATTCTTTTGTTTTTTGCGAATGAATATCATATTAACATTTTTTAGAATAACAACGATTCTTCCCGACACAAATCCCATTACTTAATCCATAGGGAGGAGATGAATTCATATCTTTCTCAAGGATATTCGAGCGAAAATGAATGTAACGAAACCAACTGGAATTTGAACTCGGCTTTCCAATTTCTTATTCTGAGCCGCTGTCATTAAATCACGCGCACGTCCACTCTTCTCGGACATATACTTTCTTCTTCATTTGCTTTTCCTTCTTCGACGTCTTCGTTTTGCTTCTTGTTTTACTTCTCAGCCCTTTTCCTTCTTCTTCTTCTTCTTCTTCTTCTGCTTCTTCTTCTTCTATTACTACTA